ACCACAGTATTTTCAAGACCACTTTGATACGGCAGTGACAGTTTTAGGAGTATCGAGGGTGAGCAGGAGCTTCTCAGCGAGGAGACAAGGGAGGCTACAGGTTGAGATGCGAGAGAGAAAAACAAAACAGCATGCCTGGCTTTAGTTCATTTTTACAGATTAATACGACTGAGGGGTTGAAATGCTTTGTGTTTCTCTCTGGGGGTTTTTGAAGCCACATCCTATCGCAGTGCCGACGACTGTGTGTTGAATCAATGGTGCAACAGGCGGCTGTGCCGTCCACGCCACAGCAGTACTCAACGTTTTGATTGTGTGTGCGTAAACAAGTGGGGACAGTTACAGTATGCACACACATTTACAAGATCTATATACATGTGTTCAAGTGTATAAATTAGTGTTCTATGTACATCTGTGTGTGTGTGTGTGCGTGTGTGTGCATATTCAATATATTCAACACACGCCTATTTAACACGCGGCTAGCGAGTGTTGCGCTGCCGTTAGTCGTCAGCCGACCCGGTCGTGAAGAGGACTCTCTGGTCCATTCTGGCCAGCTTGGCGGGCGGCTCCAGAGAATCGTCTCCGAGCACGACCGCGTCCGAGGGGAGAGACAGCTCCTGGCCTTCGTCGTCACTCTCGTCGTCCTCCTCCTCTTCCTCTTCTGGGATGGACAAATGAGTTAGTGATAAACAACGCTTGTGGTTTGTCTGGGATACAGTAGAAACAAAGAGCAGAGTCTTAATTACCTTTGTCCGGATCCAGCTGATGTAGACCCCGGCCTAAACTGGCAAACTGATGGCGAGAGGGGAAAGTGTCATTATTGTAAATAAGGCTGACATTACTGAGTGTGTGTGTGCTTTGGTACCTCTCCCATGACAGCAATGGGGGTCTCTCCTTTCGCCTGGGCCACTCTGTGCTCTATCAGGTAGTACATGTACTCGTCGTACAGCAGGCGGATCAAGTGAAAGGAGCCAAAGCTGGCGGCACTCCTCAGGGTCAGGTCCCTGATCACCATGGAGCTGGAGAGCAGAGATCAGGGAACTGCCATTAGTACTATTCTGTGACTGTGTCGCTTCTTCCTCTGAACCACAAACAGGAAGTATGTCTCAGTGATTCACTGTGACAGAGTTCAAAGCAAGAGAGTGAGAGACTTTAAATCAATCATACCCTTCATGACTTCTAAGCTGAACATGCAACACAGCTGTACGTTCACACACAAACAGTGATTCACTGGAAGGGCATAGAATTTGCTCATTTGCTCCGTAACAAATGCTTGCAATTAAATCTCACCGCGTCGACAAAGACAACAGAGTAGAATGTAAATTAGAAAGTCCAAATGTCTCCCATCGCACCTGTAAAAGGACCACTTGAGCAGGAAGAGCTTGGCGGCCTTGGGGAAGGCGGGGCTCTGCTGGTAGGGCTTTAGCACCTGGGAGACGACGCCATCCAGCCATGCGGCCCACTGCTCCAGGGAGTTCTGCTGCTGCAGGGTCAGCTTGAAGTCCTGCTCCAGCCGCTGGACAACACGGTCCTCACACCGGCACACCCACGAAGCCTGCTCCTGCAAAAGAGTGGACAGGATGTGTCAGTGAGAAGCAGTCACACCCGGCAAAAGGGCAGCAGGCTAACCAAATGTTTAGATGGACTATCCTTTCGAACAGAAGACTCAAGTTTAAGTCCTTGGAAATACAATCTCTGACAAATTGTCTTTAACAAGACACTAAACAGGTCCCAGGTCCAGGGCTCTGTATCTAACCATGTGCTGTTCACTCACTGCAGGAAAGGGAAAAAAACAATACGAGCTTCTGAGGAAAAAGCAAGAGCGCTTGTTTTACATTACCTGGGTAGGAAAGTTGCCGAAAAAAAACCCAGAATGATTCATGCAGTGACTGAATAATTAAGCAACGCATGAAACCTCATCAAAACCACAAGCTACAGCAGAGAGTGCTGCATATGCACAACAAGATTAAACCACAAACACATTCATGTGAGGTGCGTTCAGAGACTAAACCAACCTGGACGTTAGCGAAGTCGACGCGGTTGAGGTCGGAGAGCATCTGGTTGATCTGGGCCGTGTTCTGGAGGACGGCGCGGGCTGCCTGGGCCAGGTGGTTCAGACTGGTGTAGCGACGCAGTGTCTGGGCAAATGCATTGGCTGAAGTTACCTGAGAGACCGCAAGGGGAGAAGGATGAAAATCAGCTGTAGTAGTTCGGCACTTTTCTGCAGTTTCTGAACTTGCAATCAGCCTCAGCATAATGGCTGATCCTGCAAGCCTGAAAAGCTGCTCCATGGCTCATAGAACATGTTGTTCCACTAACTGCAAGCTAATCCGAGGGGAGTGTACCTTGATGCGGACCATTTCCTCCGGGATGTTCATCATGGCGTTGGTCAGCCAGCTCTCCAGGCTCTTGGCAAAGTTGCGGATGGCTTGAGTTAAGGCACCTGGCGGCAGCGAGGAAAAAAGGGGATTAAAGACTTTAATACCGGTCACTTCAGAGGATGTTTTCATTTGCCTCTGCCCTGAGAATGTACCAGGAAAACGGATTATCAAACATCTGGTGGAAATGGCGTATACGTTTCTGCTGGAGAATCAGATTTATCGGCCGTGTGCAAAACCAGATTTTCCAATGTGATTTCAATTTCCATGGAAGACCAACACCTAGGGCATGGCAATATCTCTGTGTGGAAGGACAGATCCTTTCTCATAGCTCAAAATAATTCAATTCAAAGTCTGAACCCTGAGTCACTTTCCACAGCGCAGCAGCAGCAGGCGTGTAATTAGGAAAACTTTACTACAGAGCCAGTCCATTATTCCAAATGTTTCAACCAGGAAAAGGTGAATCCTCCCAGAATAGTAGAACTGTTTCTACACGTCAAATACCTTTGTTCTCTCATAAGTAAATGGCTCTCTATGTGCGTATACTGTAGGTATGGATACATGTGCTTTAATGGCAGCTGTAATTACTATTTTTTTTTTTGCAAGTATTTTTCTTTTCAGTGTGGTCACTTTTGAGGTCAAAGTATTTCCCTCTGTGCACATTACTCTCTGCACCATACTGTATGTTTGACTGCACAATCAGCCTTACTGGGGATGGGCCTGAGGACGTCAGGGATGAGGATCTCCACCAGGCCCTGGTACAGGCAGTTGTCACAGTCACGGCTCCAGCGCAGCACTGGATCATACTTGCACAGAATCACCAAACAGGACTTAGGGAGGCGCTTCTCTGACTCGTCATGGCTGCCAACACACACATGCATGCCAGTTTGAATTACCAAATGGTACTGCTCTTCTGCACTAGGACAATATTTTTACTTGTGTTTAGGACTGAATTCTGAATATTTGGCCTTTAAGTTTTGACCACTCACACAGCCAACGTGGCATCTCCAGCCTGATTCTGGCTGAACCTCCAGAAGGTCTTCCACAGAGTTTCCACCAGGGTGAACTGCAGGTTGACCATCACATCTAGTATGGCCTGAAGGGAACACACGGAGCACATCGTATACATAAATGACTGAGCACATTCAGATTATCACAAGATCAATTGGACGGACAATGAAGTGAGAAAAACAAGGACCCTCAGCTGTCTTACAGCATGGTTTTTCTTCCTACACTATAAGTCATGCAGGGTTCTTTCATTTAAAGTAGTCTTCCACTCATAAATACTCAATGGATGCCCCCGAGCTAACGGATTACCCTTCATTCACTTACCTCACAGTGCTCTCTGTACAGCAGCTGGAAGCTCTTGATGTGCTCCAGCTCGATCCCCTCTGGCAGAGACTTCCCCTGGAGGTCGATGTCTGGGAAATCTGGGAGAGCTCGGGACGCATCTGGAACACAAGAACACTCGATGCTCAAAGAGAAATCAAATTATTACAATAATTAATATTCTATTATACTGTATTTTGTATTTTTACAATACTACCATCAGACTTCACCGTTCACTGTACACACCTAGGAACTGCTGGTACTGCTGAACCTGGGTGCTGATGTCCACCTGCCCTGACCCCTGCTGCTGTTGCTGCTGCTGGCCGGCTCCCGCTGCCGTGCCATTGGTCAGTCCCTCGACTTTATGCACAGGCTTCAACCTGATAGGGCCACAAAGATGATGAATGACAAAGTGAAAGGAAGTGGCAAGTCTGTCTCCTCATAAAGCAGGTGTTTGGAACCGTGAGATGATTTAATGGTGATGACAGACAATAGATGTGTGTGTGTGTGTGTGTGTGTGTGTGTGTGTGTGTGCGCACCTCTGTTTCTGTGAGAAGGGCTGCTGCCTCATGGCCAGATGTTGCTGGTCCTCCATCAGGCGGAGAAGAGAAGAGCCGGCCTTGATCCTCAGCCCATAGTAGTGGTATTTAGAATTACCCCTGTCAGGAACAGATTCATGTGTTTTTACATCAAATTCAACTTGTTTTGACAAATCTGTTGAGGAGAAAACAAGTATATGTGAGAAGAAAGGGTTTACGTTGTCTATACAAACCTGTGGGAACTCCCCCACAGCTACATGCTGTCCATAGTCTCAACACTGACTGATTTAACGATACATATCTTTAATTTCATAAAATACAATCACGGAAAATATATTGTTTAATCAAAACCCGCTGACTTTTAAGAAATCTTAAAACTAAATCTCACTTGCTCACTCTCCCCTCCTTTGTGAAACTCACTCACACCCACACACACGCTGTCTGTCTTCATCTCTACCCACATCTCTTCCTACACCAGGCAAACGTTTTGCAATGCTCGAAAGAGCTCTCTTCCTTTTCCTACTAAAACCTTCATTGTTCTCCTATCGGGTGTCCTGGTGGGTGTCCACTAGTTGAGGTCTAAATGCATATGAACCATGCAGTGTGTATAAAGAGGTGTGTCTGTGCTACTGATGTGCATCGCTGTGGTAAGGAGAAGTGTTTCTCTCCGTTTGCCTGCTCTCTCTGTGACGTCAAGTTGATATATGGACTCTCATGTGTTCTGTACCTGAGTTCGGGTGTCTGATGACCCGTCTTACCGTGTGCCCAGGCGTCGTGTGCGCAGCCCCATGAACACGGATCTGATGAGTTTCCCGAAAGATGCAGCATTAACGGGCTCCAGTTTCTGCTCCTGGCAGTGCAGCAGATAGTGGCAGTAGAGGGTGGACCGAGGCAGACTCACTCCTTCAGCTGTCTCGTAGTTGTCCAGCAACCACTGTACCTGACACGCAGGCAATGAAAAAAAAGAACAACAGCTGGTGCAGTTAGCAAAGCCAATAGATACAAACAGGAAACGCACTGCAACATATGGACACACAAACTGTTTACAGTACATGCGGTCACATCGATTTACATTTACAGTTTGTCGATCCTTTGGGAATGAAAACACACGAATACATTTGTTTGCGTGCCGTGGCATACAAATTTGGTATGCAATGAATTAATGACCTGCAATACTGATGGGATGTTTTGCCAAACATAGGTTGGTTGCCATTATCATATGGGGTTCAATAGGATGAATTTGGGGACGAACAATATATTTTTGGGGCATTTTAGGCAAATTTAAAAAATGCCCCCTCATCACATGCACTGTAATGATATGAGAACGATGAGGCCATGGTTTTGTTTTGTTTCAGCACAGTTAAAAACACCGTATGCTACGACACATTTGAATGTGATGCAATACTCAAAGTATTACATCACCCACTGCTAATATTTTCTGGTCCTGATACAAAATCTCCTACATTTTTTTAATTGTGCTTTCCACAGGACAAAACTATGATGTCATCAGTATGCGCCACCAATGGGGTTGTGGGGATGAGAACAAAAATGAAGAAGAAGAAATTCCTGCGCTTGGCGCCTCTGCATACCTTCTTGTCTGCCGACGGCACGCTACCCTCCTCGCCCTCTGTAATACTCACAGTGGCTGGCGAGGCGCGGGTGGTGTGCGAGTAGTTCTGACTGTTGCCAGCGGCCCCTCCTCCTCCTCCTCCACCGCCGCTGCTGCCCAGCATGTAACCCCCCTGGATCACATAGCTGCCTGCTGCGCCACCGTTGGTGCCCGCCCCTTCCCCCGCCCCATTGGTGGTGCCACCTGTGGTCACCACGGTGGCACCACCCCCCGCTGCACTGGTGGGCTGGGCAACAAACATGGACACGCCCCCTGCTGTGCCAGCAGTGACAGAGACGGTTAGAGGTGTGCCAGGGGTGGACGCCTGTGAGCCTGAAGTTGGCTGACCTTCATAATACTGGGCGGCTGTGGTCTGGGTGTACAGCGGGGTGTCGGTGTAGGGAAAGGCGCTGGAACGGCTGGATGAAAGACACGAAAAGATATGTTAGGAACAAAGTAAACTGTAAAAAGGGAAAACGTTCTGTCTGGACATGGGTTAGTTTATTGATGGACAGTTTTATTCTAACATGGTGCTGGTGTAGTTGGTCTCTCCTTCCTCCACATATTGCACTTGATTGGCGTACACGTGTTGCACTGGCACTGGTGTGAGCTGCTGCTGGACCTAAGGAGTGAGCACACACACACACACACACACACACACACACACACACACACACACACAAATTCAATAAATCCCTTTCTGCCTAGTTTAACCATATCAACTGTATCTTGCCTGACAAGCCTACCAACATCTTTCAAACACAGTTTCTTCTGACATTATAACTTGTGTTTCTTAGCTACGGACATATTCTCTGTTCCCTTGATTATATAGCAGCAGCCACCCTTGTGTCCCTGACCTACTTGCAAAGCAGCATGCGATGGTGGCTGATCGAGGCCTGAGCTTGTGACTGCAGGGTGGGCTCCTCCTATCTCGGCATGCCCAGAGAGCCAGTGCAGTGACTGGTAATACTGAAGGAGGTCCAGGGGGAGGTAGACCAGCGTGCCGCACCAGTCGCTTATGTAGTTTGCTGATACCGGGGCCTGGCACTCTGGCTGTCCTGTCTCATGCTGAAACTGACATTCTTCTAGATTTGTATCCCTGACTAACGCTGTCACCTCAAAGTAAGGGGGGAACTGAAAGCCCACAGAAGCAGGTTCGACCACAGATGTGATTAGTTGGCTAATACTAAGCCAAAATGTGAGGAAGTTGGAAAGTTTTGGATGTCACATGTGATCCACTTTTGTTATTGTCAGACATCTGTGTTACTGTGTGTTTGACTGACCTCCTGGATATGAACCGGCTGTAGACTGGTGACACTGAGCTGAGTGCCCGGCTCAGTCTTGGCTATCTGAGAGGTGGCCTGCACCACTGACCTCTGCAGAGATAAAGATCATAAATAGTTTTAAGAGCCACGGTAACATTAATTTCATAATGTGCTTGTGTGTACGTGCATATATTACCTGCTGAGCAGCTTGCACCTGCTGGACAACCTGCGTGGGAACTCCTGTTTGCACCACAGCTGGAGGGGGGCTGGAGTCTGACAAGCTGTCACTTGAGTGAAGGGAGCCCTCTTAAGGACAAAGGGAATGTAAATACATTCACAAGTTAGTGACATTCTACTTTCATGAAGTTGTTGATATGCTGCCATTTTTGAAAGTGCCCCACACGGTCATTCCACCTACTTTGAAACAAAGTTTCAAACTTAGTCATGATCGTTCGTTTCTAAACCTAGAACAAGAAACTGTGTCGACAAGTTTTTCAAAGAACTCCAATTGTATGTAGAGTAACTACTAAAATATGGATGTATTAAGTAAAGCACTGCTTCTGCCCCAATGGAAAATAACGTTATGCAAAGCTCAGCCCTTACCTGTGACTGTGACGACGATGTACTGAGGAGTGCTTTGAGCATTTCCAGACTGCGTGGGGGAGCCCTGGATCTCTGCAGTCACATACTGGGTCTGAGGAGGCTGGGCCTGTGCTGTGGACTGGGCTTGACTAACATCTGCAGGCTTCTGAGTGATGATGGAGGTGGCTTGATCGGTGGGAGTAGTTTGGCCCGTGGGTGTGACAACAGTGGGAGTGGCCACGGTAGTCTGAATCTCAGCCAGAAACTGCGGGGCTATTGCGGGGCTAGAACTGGCGTCAGGTTGCCCCACTGTCACAGTAACACCAGCTCCCTGGGGTTGGGCTGCCGGCTGGATCTCACCTACGTAGCCTGAGGTGGCCATTACAAGAGCTGGGAATCACACTAGGGAAAAATAGACAAGTGATTAGTTATGCATTTCTGGTGTATAAGAGATGCTCTGAATGCTCCAGTATGAGTTCCAGGACGAATCCTGGAAATGTTTATTTCCAGGTTCTATTTGGTAAGAAGAGGCCAAAGTAATTTGGTATTTGAAGCCAGCACACACACACACACACACACACACACACACACACACACACACACACACACACACA